GGAACCTAATTAAAACTAAAAAAATACATTTGACGTTTTTTGGCGGGAAAACATAGTATTTTGCGTTTTTTGGCGGGAAAACGATATTTTGCGTTTTTGGCGGGAAAACGTTATTTTCCGTTTTTGTCGGAAAATATGATTTTATGTTTTAGCGAGAAAATGTGATTTTACGTTTTTGGTAAAAAAAATGTAGTTTTACCTTTTTGGCAGAAAAACATTATTTTGCGTTTTTGGCAAAAAACAAAAATCCGGGTTTTTCACAAATAAATATGAGATTATTTGCAAACTCTTATTTATAATTTTGTAGACAAATAGATTAATTAAAAACTAATGGTATGTTTGTCATTTGTCATTTTTGGATGAACCATCTCCATCTAGATGGATCATCTAGATGATCCAATTACACTCATCCAAATGACTTTCAAAATTTTGCCTAAAATTCTAAAACTCACCTAAATGGTTCATCTGGATGATTTTGAATAACGCTCATTTTTTAAGTTAAAACGAACAACATCCTGATGATTCATCCATATGAAGAAACGAACAGGACCATGGTAAATCTATTTTCATCTTCTTTTCCTTAGAGTTCTTTATTGCTATCTTGTAATAATTCGATTCCTCTGAATCTCTATGTGAGTTTGTGATAAGTTACATGCATGCTATATATAAGTTACAAATTGCAGATCTTGAAATTGTTGTTTCATCAGCCAACAACAACATTTGAGAAGTATGAGATTCAAGTATATCATATCATCTTTGGTATTTTCGATGGAAACTGAAACATTATTATTGATGATACATGAAGAAATGATTTAGCAACAGTTTGGGGTGTTAAAGAGACGGTTTCTAGGGTCTTAAGGAGTGCAATTGCATGAAACTGGGCTGAGTCTTACACTTGGATCCCATGTATATATATAAATATAAGTATATAGCTTTGCTTTGAAATATATATTATATTTTTAATATGAATGAAATAAGAGAGAAACAGAAAGAAAAATGTTAACAAAACATTAAATTGAAAGTAAAAGATAAAACTATCTTTTTTCATTCATTTTGTCAAGTACATAAAGAACGAAAAAAACAGACAACGCAAAAATATATTCTATGGTTCATTGTAGAGTTACATTAGCGATCGTAATACCGACAAGTACACTCACGTTTTCGGATTACTAATTGCAAATCTAAATATTTTCGTAATATTTTAGAATTTTATTGATAATAGCTTCCCTATTAAAATCCATAACAATGTGGTTGACACAAACAACTTATAAAATTATAAATCGTCGTATCTTACTATGGACATACAGTCTAATAATGATTTGTGATAATATTGCATCAACACTCATATCAATTATATATAAATTAAATAATACACACACAAAAAAAAAATCAAAATTATTTTTACTTCATTGTTTGATAATAAGTTGCAAATATATTGTTCTTCTCAAGAATGTAAACCATTATTATTATTATTATTATTATCATTATTACTATTGGAAATACATAGGAAATATAGCAATAATCACTTTTGGTAATCTCTAAACATATTAGAAGATTTAACTAGGACAATAATATAGATGTTTATTCTTTAGCTTAGAAATATCAAATCTGGTTACAAAGGTATTCAAATAGCAGCATCATGCCATGGGAAACATTTTTCCTGGCCTGTTAATCTACATGGACCATCAGGTCTTATACTCCAAACACACTGATCATGATGTTCGCATACCCATTGATCTCTTTTTATATAAATAATATCAAACCATTTAGATTGATTACCCCATTCAAAGTGACAATAGAACAAAGTTGTTTCCCAAATGTTGATAGCTTCTCTAAATCCCCAGTGTTGTTGAGGGGCTAAAGATTGTGATCCGAGATCTTTGTCCTTCGATTTGCAGTGTAGTCCCAGTTGAACATTTGGACCAATATCGTTGATGATATCCACAGCTATATGCGCACCAGCCACGCAATGACCACCAAAGAGAATAGCTATGAATGTGACACTAAATATTATGTGAAATGCAGATGAGCCACCCATTATGAAATTGTTTTTCATAATATTTGTGAATGGCTCTATAAAAATGAATTTTGTGTTCTAGCATCCCATCTTTTTTATACTTTTGATTACGCATGTATGTTTCTTGAATGATTAAGATATTTACTTATTTATATGGAATCTACTGAAAACAAAATATGTGGTGCATTGATAAGATTTCAATGAAATCTTTGGCAATATATCAATATATTATTCTCTACATTAGATTTCCTATCTATTAAGAAAGATACCAAAATTAGCACAAAAAAAAAATACTGAAAATTTGAATCTTCTAAAAGATGAAGAATAATTTTGGTTTAAAAAAAAATTACAAAAAAATTATTAAACTTTGAAAAAGAAATTTGGACAGTAATCTGTTGTCACATTAAATCATTCAGATATTATTAAATTTTCTAACAATGTATTTGCTTTTATAAATCTTTCATTTTTTTGGTCAAACTTACAAATCTTTCATATTTTCACATAAAGAAACATATATTTATTCATTTAAGAAAGTATTTATAAATACAGTTAAATTTGTACCAAATAGTAAATCTGATAATATATATACTTTATTTACATTATAATGGATTTTATTTATTTTTAATCTAAATTCTTATATTGATATATATATATATATATTCAAGTATTCAACTAATAAATTTTGCTATTAACTAGATAATCATTAAAAATTCTAATTAGTAATTTTATAATTAGTGTTTAAAAAAATACTAAGCAATGTATAGCGCATATACTAGCTTACTTTTGTTTAGAAATTTTAAGAAGACATCATTTCTGTTTCGATTAGTTTCATTAGTTTCATACAAATTAATATATAAGTATATAACTTTGAATAATATTTTATATTTTAAATATGAATAACACAAGAGAGAAAAATAAACTTATAGCATCTGACATTGGAGAGGTTCTCAAATTTGAGTATCTTCCAAAAAAAGAAAGAAAAAAATAAAATAAATGAGTATCCCAAAATGTTGAGATACATATCTAAAAGTATCTCAAAGTATCTCTTTTGGATGGATGTCTCAATATTTGAGATACTCATATATTAAACAAAAATTTTAGATATCTACAATTTGATCACCTCCCCTAATGGAGGTGCTCTTATAAATTAATAGGCCTAAAATTAAAAGAGGGTCAAGAACATGAGAATATTCTAGCTGCCTTCGAAGAACATCAGCAAGATCATCATCACGGGAAAGATTCGGTAATCAATAAAATAGATCTTTTATTCGTTCATAACGTAGAACGGTTATAATTTGCCCAAACAGTCTGCAGTCTTTAGATTTCTTATGCTACTTTAAGCTATATGGTAAATCTATATTCTTCTTCTTTTCCTTAGAGTTCTTTATTGATATCTTGTAATTATTCGATTCCTCTGAATTTTTATGTGAGTTTGTGATAAGTTACATGCATGCTATATATAAGTTACAAATAGCAGATCTTGAAATTGTTGTTTCATCAGCCAACAACAACAATTGAGAAGTCTGAGATTCAAGTATATCATATCATCTTTGGTGTTTTCGATGGAAACTGAAACATTATTACTGATGGATTACATGGAAAAATGAGACAGAACAACAGTTTGGGGTCTTAAGGGCATATCATGTTAGGACAACTACAAAGAATATTGTTTTTAGTTTGAGGAGTGCAATCGCATGAGACCGGGCTGAGCCTTACACTTGGATCCCATGTACTTAATAAGTTGTTTAGACATTGTTGTGCTCCATCGTTTCCGCACGAACCACCAAACACTTGCTTCTTCGACGGACACCACGGCCTTCTCGCACCATTCACGCTTGGTACTTCACCTAATTCATTAACAACAACAAAAATTAAAAAAAAAGTTGAAACCAAACTGGTTTAGGTTAACTTGAGTAGTTCGATTCATGAGCAATAAGAAAACCTTGAGAAAGGTGGCTTGAGAGAAGGGAGAATAAGACACAAGTAACCAAGAAGATCGCAGCTAACTTCATATTTCTTCTTTCTTTGATTCTCTGTTTTGATTTTTCTCCAAGAAAGAAGTTATATTTTATATATATACACAGGGCAGATCCAACATATTAGAGCTAGTCTTAAGGGAAATTCATTAAAATTTGCCCTTTATTTTTAAATATATCATGATTTGTTTCTTTGTTTAACAACATTTCATTATTATATTTTTTTTATAGAAAATCTAATTTATAATACAAATAATCTAAATTTGATATTACTTTTATATTCAATGTTTTGAAATCTATGAATTTATTTCTAGATATTTCAAAAGTATTTAGTTTTCAGTTTAAAATCATAAATTGGGAAAATTACCATATTTAGTTACTTATATGCAAACTATTAACAACAAAAAAAACATACATGGCACATAATTGGGAGGAGTTCTATGAACTCTTTCTAGATTATTTGTATTTTATGTATAAGAAAATTATATCTCCTACAATTAATATCCTATTTATTTAGAAATCTATCAAAATTAAGCTCTATAAAGGGAAAATTGAAAAAATAAAGGACAAATATTTAAACATTTGTCCATATATTCATTCTAGGATTAGAATTGGTCAAATATGATTTATATTTGATAAAATTATATTATACCCTTAGTAAAATTTACCATATATATTAAATTTTAAAAGCCTTAGGTTAAAAAGTTTATTTTGGTGTGGTGAAGTTAACATTTTAGACCACACTAATACAAGTTCAAACCTTACAAACTACATTATTTTTTTCTCTGTTTTTGAAGCATGGTTTGTCAAGCAGGTTTAATTTAAATAAATGATTAGAATTTAAATTTAATTTTTAAATATTTATCCTTTATTTTTATTTTTCCTTTAAATTTACTCTTCCCTATTGAATTGTTGTGTTTTTCTTACTGAAACATGTAGTCAGTCTAAAATATATATAATGTAATACACATGATTGACAAAAAATCATATTATTTTTACTTTACTATTGATAATAAGATACGAATATATTGTTGAAATTAAAATACATAGGAAATATGACAACAATCATTTATGGATAATCTTTTAACATATTAGAAGATTTAATAACCAGGACATGGCAAGAAACGACAATAACAGAGACGTTTGTTTTGGGGTTGAGAAGTGCAAGTGCAATCTGTTGGACCAAGATCTCCAATGTTATCCCATGTGTTCCTCAAGTCGTTATAGCATTGTGTGTAATCAGTTCTGTCGCATGAACCTGCAAATACTTGTCTTCTTGTTGGACACCACGGCCTCTTCTCGGCAACGGTTAGACTTGGGAGAAGAGTGAATAGGACACAAGAAACCATGAAAATTACAGCTAGTTTCATTTTTCTTGTTTGCAAGTTCTTTTTCTTCCTTTTTCACTTTGTGAGCTAGTATCTCTGCTATAAGCACTAACACATATAAATAGTAGCTACACATATATGATTTAATTAATATTCAAACTTATTTCGGGTAACTAAGTAAATGTTGAGAATAAATTTGGTTGAATAATTTTTTATGAGTTTTACAAATTTCTTATCCAAATTTATTAGTATATTGACCAGCACTAATTAAAATGTAGTGCTTGGGACAAGATCATATAACCTGCTTTAGTTTCGGGGCTGAGAGGATGTATATGATTCAGCCAAAAAACCTCTTTGATTATTAAAAAAAAATATATATAGTTATAACTGATGAGAGGTTGGATCGCAGTTGCTTTCATGAGCCTGTCCCGAAGGCCGGCTCTGATTTGTATATCTTCGAAAAACTCTCTAAAAAACTTTCTTTTGAATTATCAGAAATTATTTTGATTTTAAAAATTCAGAATACAGTGTGAGTGTATATCGAACAAATAGCTTGCCCTTTGAGCAAGGCACATGCTTATTAGACCGACAGAATTTTAGCTGATTGGGCCGGGCCGAGTATAAACCCGTTTTAACGTTCACAAGATCCACAGCCCAAATCTCTGACTGCGATACAATATGACTGGTTTAGCCGTTCAGGTACCGGTTTAGAGAAAACCAAACAGATTGACACCTGGGAAACTCTGGATTCTTCGCCTTCCAATATCAAGTTGACTCGTGTCATAAATTAACAAATTAAGTTGACCTAAATAATGAACTAAGTTGACCAGAAAACAAAAATTGATATTTCTGGAAATATGAATTTGTCTATTTTGTAACGTTTCAGAGCTCTTTGTTCTTCTCTTGTAATTTCTAGGGCATACTCTGCAGCAGATCTCTTCTCTTTTAAGCCATGGTAAATCTATTTTCGTCTTCTTTTCCACAAATTTCTTCATTCTTATCTAGTAACGATTCGATTCGATTCCTATGGATTTATATGTGAGTTTGTGATAAATTACATGCATGCTATATATATAAGTTACAAATTTCAGATCTTGAAATTGTTGTTTCATCAACGAGTTTTAACAATAGTTTGAAGTAGTTAACCAGTTCTATAGATACGATCATCTAAGTTTGTGGCTTTAATTTGAAGGCAGAGGAGCTAGTTTAAGTTGGTGATGTTGTTTCACTGATTGTAGTAATATATAACATTGTTAGTACTGTTCAGTGATTCATGTTCAATTACTTTGAACTCTCAAGTGTGCTATATATGATAAGACTTTTTCCTCTGTTCTTATGTCCTCAGGACATCTTTTGATAAGTGATTTGCATTATCTGATCATCTTAATACTTTCTTGTGTTTTTATTCTTTTACATATGTATAGGAGTTACCCCCAAAAGTGAAAAACATGTTGCTTTTGGATTCTGAAGGTAAGCGTGTAGCGGTTAAGTATTACTCAGATGACTGGCCAACAAATTCTTCAAAGGAAGCTTTCGAAAAAGCTGTGTTCACAAAGACTCAGAAAACAAGTGCCCGGGCTGAAGGTTTATTTAAATTACTCTGTCTTGTGTTGAGTATCATTCATCAAATCTTTTCAAGTTTGGCTACTCATTCGTGAACTGGTGGGGTTTGTATTGCATCATTACAGTTAATATATAGTTCTTGATATGCAGTGGAAGTGACGGCATTAGAGAACAACATTATTGTGTACAAGTTTGCACAAGATCTCCATTTCTTTGTTACCGGCGGTGAAGAGGAAAACGAGCTTATCTTAGATAGTGTGCTTCAGGGACTCTTTGATGCAGTGACCCTTCTCCTTAGGTTTGTCTAATCATAACTTCAGATTTGTTATATTATAATCTAGATTTTCAAATTACCTCTAATTTTCGACTTTCCTCTCTTCTGAACCCAAATTACAGAGGCAATGTTGATAAGAGAGAAGCACTGGACAATCTTGATCTCATCTTTCTATGCTTCGATGAAATTATCGACAATGGGTATCAAAGTTCCTCCCTTTGGACATTTCTTATAACTATTACATTAAATAAACTGTTTCATAGGTTACATAGACTAACAATACTTTCTTATTATCTCAGTATTGTTCTGGAGACAGATGCAACTGTGATCGCAGGAAAAGTAGGGATCGACAGTACTGACCCTAATGCACCTCTATCCGAGCAGGTACCTGTGCTTTGATAACATTGATCATCTCTTTTTTGATAATTGCTTTTTCTTGATACAAACCTTGAGAAAGTTACATTAGTCCGACCTGTCAAGTAACACCATATATAACTAATGAACTTCTTACATTTCTCTGTGGTTTCTTTTTCTTTCAGACGATAAGTCAGGCACTCGCAACAGCAAGAGAGCATTTGACAAGGTCACTTTTGAAATGATGTGTGTGGATGTTCGGTTATTATATCGGTTTTTGTTGTTGTCGTCGTCGTCTCTATATATAATGAAACTATGAATGTGTGTTTTGTCTTTTGTGGTTGCGTTAATAGACTCTGAAAAATAGAAATTAGAATTTGGAATTTGAACTTTAAGATAGTTACAGTTCTCAAGGCCTGAAGGCCAAAACATTCTCTGAATTCTCTTCGCTCTTTTCCACAACGAGTTTGACTAAGTGTACATTTAGTTCTATATTATTCATGTTTCATACACAATAATTTGAGTGGTTCTACCCATGATCTAAGAAAGGAATAATTTGACTTGGTTAGAGACCTATGAAGAAAATATTCAAAACAATATGGTTATAGATACAGATTTACAAAATTTCAAGCTACTTTATCATAGACATAAATGTACCAATAAAATTGTTTGTTTTTTCAAATATGTATTTGGTGGATCGATACTCATAAATTCATAATAAGAATATCCAAAACAATATGGCCATCCCTATATTAGCAAAAGAGAAGAGAAGTACAAAATAGAATACTCAAAATTGAAAAATTAACTCGGTTTTAACAATTGGATACTTTAAAACTGCAAATTAAATTGGGTTTGGATACATACATCGGATACTTTCCATATCTAAATTTCAAATTATATTATTTCCATATCTAATTTTATGAATTCCTAATAAATCTCTAACTAATCAATTATTATTCTTCTTTAATTTTTATTTGATATTATTTTTAATTTATGATAATTTACAATATAATAAATATATTTAATAAAATTTTAATTTTTTTTTGCATATGTTGCAATTTGAATTTTTTTAAACGGACATATAATACTCAAATACACTCGGTTAAATATTTTGGACAATGACTCAAAATCAATATAAGTATGATCAATATTATAACCATTGTTACATGGGCATATTTAAAAGTTTCAAAAGTTTCAAAATATTATAATTAAAATGTTCAAATATATAAAAAATTTAGAATTAAAAATATTAAAAATATTTTTTTGGAGACATAGATGTAATTTTGGAGACATAATTTTTATTCATAAAATGTATTATATATCAAACTATGTAAAATTTAGATAGTTTGCGGGTAGTTTGTTAAAATTACAATTATAAATGTAAAGCGAGTTATGAATAATGTTTTTAAAAAAATGAATTTTATTACCGGTTGGTCCTTCAAAAAATATATTGTAAGTATGTAATTAATACATATATTCCTATTTCTACTACAAAAATGGTCAAATTGAATAATTTGTCGATAAATATTCTTTTCTGCTGTTAAATTTTCATTTTTTTTTTAATTGTATCAAAACTCAATATATTATTATTTACTCGCTTTTCGTTTATTTTATTTAAACTTATTACACAAATATAAGATTTACCGTAATGACTGCACTGCAATAAAATTAAAATGTAACATATTCTAATTCGTTAAAGATTATATATATGTAATTATTTCCTCCGCGCGTAGAGCGGCTCCGAATCTAGTAGATACCTATATTTTCGATATAGTTGTGAAGATTTTGAAAAAGATGGGAAGTGTCTAATTCTTGTAATAACTCTAAAAATAAAAGACATGGACTCATCGACTGTCTGAAAAGCCGTCTTTTATCCAACTTCTCCGGGAAAGGGAATCTCAATTTCTTTTGTCCAACTACTTATATTATAAACATAGAACTTGTCAACAGAGAGGTGTTTCATTCCACTGTAGATCTAATCATGGAGACTACTACGTCGCCTCTGCTCCCCGGTGATCACAGCCGATGCGGGTGGCTCCGCCGTCGTCTCCGCCTCAAAAACCCTCTTTCTTCTGAACTCTCCGGTGCTGTCGGTGATCTGGGTACCTTCATACCCATCGTCCTAACACTAACTCTAGTCTCCAATCTCGATCTCTCAGCCACTCTCATCTTCACTGGATTCTACAACATCGCCACCGGTCTCCTCTTCGATATCCCTATGCCCGTACAGCCCATGAAATCCATCGCCGCCGTCGCCGTTTCCGAATCCCCTCACCTCACTCCTTCTCAGATCGCCGCCGCCGGAGCATCCACTGCTGCCACGCTTCTCCTTCTCGGCGCCACAGGGGCCATGTCTTTCCTCTACAACCTCATCCCTCTCCCAGTCGTACGCGGCGTCCAGCTTTCTCAGGGTCTTCAGTTCGCCTTCACGGCCATCAAATACGTCAGGTTTAACTACGACACTGCTACTCTCAAGCCTTCTTCTTCTCCACGTACTTGGCTAGGCCTTGACGGCCTTATCGTGGCTCTAGCTGCTCTGCTCTTCATCATTTTGTCCACAGGCTCTGGCAACGACGACAGAGACACCGAAGAAGAAGAAGACGCAGCAGAGACTTCTATCAACGACAGCCGGAGGAGACTGCGGCTTCTGTCTTCGATTCCATCAGCGCTCATCGTGTTCGTAATCGGGTTGGTGCTCTGTTTCATACGTGATCCTTCCATTTTCAAAGACCTTAAATTCGGTCCCTCCAAGTTCCATATTTTAAAAATAACTTGGGAAGATTGGAAAATCGGGTTTGTAAGAGCGGCCATCCCTCAGATTCCACTGTCTGTTCTGAACTCAGTGATCGCCGTTTGCAAATTATCCAATGACTTGTTTGACAAGGAACTCTCTGCGACGACAGTCTCTGTAAGCGTTGGGGTGATGAATTTAATCGGCTGCTGGTTCGGCGCTATGCCTGTTTGTCACGGAGCTGGCGGGCTAGCCGGGCAGTACCGGTTCGGCGCAAGGAGTGGGTTGTCAGTTATATTTCTTGGGATCGGGAAACTTGTTGTGGGTCTTGTGTTCGGAAACTCGTTTGTAAGGATTCTGAGCCAGTTTCCGATCGGCATTCTTGGGGTGCTGTTGTTATTCGCGGGGATTGAACTGGCAATGGCATCCAAGGACATGAACACCAAAGAAGAATCATTCATTATGCTTGTTTGCGCTGCCGTATCCATGACCGGCTCGAGTGCCGCCTTAGGGTTTGGGTGTGGACTTGGTCTTTATTTGTTACTGAAGCTAAGAACGTTGGACTGTTCATCGGTCACTCTGTTTTCACGGTCAAGTGATGGATCCCAGGTCGATTCTGGAGGGACTCCTCGTTTGGTCTAAACTTTGAATTGCTACTTATTTGGAAACGGGGATGTAGTGACCTCGATTGCGTCTTCTGTCTTTGATTTCATCTTCTCGCTTCACTATTTGTGATGAGAGGTTGTGTAGTGGGAAAGTTTTGTCATGTAAGGAGTGTGGATAGATATATCATCCTCATTGTATTGAAATTTTCAGGGAGAAACTCATTCATCCTAGTCATTCTGAGCACAAGCTTGAACTGAAGTTGCAGGTTGGATCTAAGTGCATTGCCTGCAAAACTGAATATTACAAAGTCAGCTTCCATATCAAATGCAGAGAAGCAGTCGATGATGCATCAGGGAAGAACAATGTTTGACCTTCACAAGTATACTTTCAAGTTTCTGTAACTTTTGGATGTTTGCTTTATGTTCACCTTTAATTTCAAGTCAACTGTCTTTAGTTAGAAACAAACCTTGTCTATATGTCTCACATGTGTCATTTTTCCTTGCATTCTAATTTAACATTACAAAATTATTTTCTTTGTGATATGGTGATATTTTTCATTTTACATACACAATAATTTGATTAGTCTACACATGATCTAAGAAAAGAATAAGTTGACTTGGTTATAGATGTTAAATATGTAATTGGATGGGATACTCATAACAAGAATATCCAAGGGTCATTAAAAAAAAATTAACATCTACACCTCTGAGCAACATTATTGGGGGTATCTTAGAGGGTTAAGATACTCCGGTTTTTGCAAAGAAAGATCTTATATAAGATACTTTCTTCACAAAAACCGGGGTATCTTAGGCCTCTAAGATACCCCCAATAATGTTGGTATGCTCATAAGTTATTAAAAAGTGGAATGTGTATTATTGCAATCTGCCAAATTAATTTAGGTCAACTGAGATTGCTATTGGTTTGTATAAACCAAAATAAATGTTAGTTTTGTTTTCTTATTACAGTCCAAAAAAAACTGGTTAGGGGCAACATCGTACTTTTAAAATATATTAGAAAGGGAGAATTAAATATTAGTAATTACACGAAAATGTCGACATTTAGTTGGCGTGTGGCTACAATATTCTGAGAATGGTATCTTCAATGCCAAGACTCTCAAAGTCTAAAACCTTGTTGGCCAACTGCAAACTTCATCACGATGTCGACATTACTTGTATCTTTCTCCAACTTGAAGTCTCGTCTCAACACATCATATCATTTAATAGCGGTTTCTGTTTTTTTTTGGGTTTTGCGAGAACTCTACGCAATTTCATGATCCCGATACAATCTTAGACACCCAATGTTCTCCATCGATGTTCGTATTCAATCTTTTTTGAGTTTTGATTTGTTTCCATTGTGATTTTGTGACGAAACTGATCATGGGTTTTTGTAAATTTAGGTTCTTTGGAAATTGGTTCCTCTATTCTTGTTCGGATCAGATAAAGATTCTCTCTCAGGTATTTCATCGAACACTATATCAACAACTGTTCCCATTTGGATTCAAAAGATTCATACTTTTTTGTTTTCCTTCCTCAAAGTCTCTGTCTTTCGATTTGATTTAGAGTAGGGTTCTCTGGGTTCATTTCATTAATGTGGTTTTACTTTTAGTTAACCGTTTTTGAATTTGCTCTGTAAACAGAAACAGAGTCCATTTTGCAGATAGTTCCTGAGACAATGGCTAACGTACTTTGCAATGCTAGTGAGTCAGACCTTTGTCGTGATGATTCCGCTGCGTTTCTACTGAAGTTAGTAGCCATTGCTTCGATTCTGCTAGCTGGAGCTGCAGGTGTAGCTACGCCACTTGTTGGCAGGAACCAACGGTTCCTTCGAACTGATGGTAATCTCTTTGTGACTGCTAAAGCCTTTGCTGCTGGTGTGATCCTCGCCACTGGGTTTGTTCATATGTTGGCTGGTGGTACTGAAGCGTTGACCAACCCGTGTTTGCCGGATTTCCCTTGGTCTAAGTTTCCTTTCCCGGGGTTCTTTGCGATGATTGCTGCTTTAGTCACTCTGTTTGTGGATTTCATGGGGACGCAGTACTATGAACGGAAGCAAGAGGGGGAAGCTAGTGAGTCTTCTGTTGAGCAGCCTGGCCGTGAACAAGCGGGTATTGTTGTTCCTTTGGTTGCGGAAGGAATGGATGATGAGAAAGTATTTGGAGAAGAAGATAATGGTGGGATTCACATTGTTGGTATTCATGCTCATGCTGCTCACCATACACATAGTCACAATCAGGGTCATGGTTCATGTGACGGTCACAGTAAAATTGACATTGGTCATGCTCATGGACACGGGCATGGACATGGCCACGGCCACGGACATGGACACGTACATGGGGGTTTGGAGCTCGGAAATGGAGCTAGGCATGTCGTTGTTTCTCAGGTATAAACCTCTGTTCACGTTTTCCCTTATTCTTACAGAGTTGCAAATACACTATATGTATGTGCAATGTGCAAGAGATGTATTCAAAACTTTCTTTCAAAATTAGCACTTGTTTACACACAACTATCACGGGCTTATGTGTCTTATTTGGGTTTGTACTATTTTCAAAAAGCTAAAAATGTGTTTATTAATCTTACTTTACTAATACTGGTAGGTTCTGGAGCTTGGTATTGTGTCACACTCGATCATCATCGGTCTATCCCTTGGAGTATCTCAGTCTCCTTGCACAATCCGACCTTTAATCGCAGCACTATCCTTCCACCAATTCTTTGAAGGATTTGCACTCGGTGGATGCATCTCTCAAGCACAATTCAGGACCAAATCAGCAACCATAATGGCTTGCTTTTTCGCCCTCACAACACCGATAGGGATCGGTATTGGAACTGCAGTGGCGTCCTCGTTCAATTCTCACAGCGTTGGAGCATTGGTCACTGAAGGTATCTTGGACTCTCTCTCGGCTGGAATTCTTGTCTACATGGCTTTAGTGGATCTCATAGCTGCTGATTTCTTGAGCACAAAAATGAGCTGTAACTTTAGGCTTCAAATTGTATCGTATATGATGTTGTTCCTTGGAGCTGGACTCATGTCTTCTCTTGCCATTTGGGCTTGATTAGACTGTAAGGTTCCATAGTTTCTACTATAGCTACAAACAATATGTATAGATCTTTCTAGAGTATATCAATCTAAGATTTCACAATTGCTCACAGGGTTCTTACTTGATTCTTTGATGATTGTTGAGGTCAAAAGAACTACAAATTCATAGATAAAATAGACTTCAAGAAATTCTATGCAGCATATAAATTTTGCTTTATACACTAAGATCTATATCTCAGTCATAGCTGAATCCATGAACAAAGCAGTACTCAGTGGATAAAGTGTTGAATTTCACCATCAAAATTGCAGAGTGCAGAGAACATTTGAAATCAACAGAATCAAAAGATAATTTTTCTCTCCCTCATCCTTTTTTCCTTCTGCGACTCTTACACATCAAACACACACCCTAACGCTACTTGAGAGCTACTCAACTAGTCACGCCGCAACAGCTTTTGGAACTCTACAAAAACTGCAGTCACGCTCAACAAACAAAATCATTACACAAACAAGGTTGGACCTCAAAAACGAGAGCCCAATAACAGTAGTTCCACAAGGCCACTAACACATCAACAGCTTCAATTGCAGAACAGAGAACACAAAATGAGCATTAATCAACATAAAGATAATATTGGAATTCATAAAGTGGTGAATAATTAGCAGTTGCATAATTTAAAATGTCATCCATTAAAGTTTTCCAAAAGGTGGGTGAAACCAGGAACAATTACAACAGATAACAATAAGGTTTAGTGACAACAAACTCAACCCAAAATGTAAAATTTATAAAGACATGGATCTTTCAACCATCAAAAGCAGCTAAGCTTAAACAACGTCTTCTTCTTTGTGGGTTTCAATGGTAACATCAGAGGTAGGATAAGCGGCACAGGTGAGAACAAACCCTGCATCAATCTGCTCATCATCAAGGAAACTCTGGTCAGACTGGTCAACAGATCCAGACACAACTTTACCAGCACAGCTCGAACAAGAACCAGCACGGCAAGAGTAAGGCAAATCGATTCCAGCTTCCTCAGCAGCGTCAAGAACGTAGACGTCGTCGTCACACTCAACCTCTTGCTCACCTTCAGGGGTAATGAACTTGACCTTGTATGTAGCCATGGCTGTGACACGTCCACCACGGGCGGTGCCTGATTTGAGACCGAAGAGGGATTGTGCGTTGGCTAATGGAAGGGAACGGAGGCTGATGGGAGCTGGGGAACGACGGATGAATGAAGTTCCGACGATGGCGCTTGAGAGAGCAGTGGAAGCCATTGTCTTTTTTCTGTGTGTGTTTTGGAAGATAAAGCTGAGATCTTTTTGAGGCTCTGGTCTGGCTTGTGGAAATGGCGTGGAGGGTGTGAAGGAAGCTTAAAAGGGGTGAGATTTCTAGTGATAATCCTATCTGCCACGTGGCGTTTGTTCTGTGGAGTGTTGGATTATCATCTTTGTGATTTAGTTTTTTTCCATTTCGTGTGTGATTGTGTTTGACACACTTTACAACACTATCTTGTTTGTGGTGAGTATTACGTGGTCTTACTTGGGACAGCTCTCACCTTGTTTGTATCGTCTCAAATAACTCTTCATATGTTCCACTTAATATTCATCATAAAAGGTGTGGTCTGGTTTGCAACATCATATCTAGGGGCCGGTATAAGCCGAACCGAATCCGAATCAAACCATTTTTCACAATGTCATATGACATTTGTTGGAAAAATCATAATACATTTAACATCAAAGATTCTATAGTCAATATCATATCATTTTCTGAAATAGGAACCTAATTACTAAAATATTTACTACACAAAATGCAGATTAAACGCTACATTAAGTGAGATTCACCTGAATAATTAGTGAGACAAAGAGGTCATACTTGTTTGAATGGGGTGAAATTTTTGGTGAAAGAAAAGTCGTCGGGAATTTAAACACAGTCGTTAAAAAAAACTAGTCTAAAACGTTAACTGTTTTTGTAAAAAAAATAACTGAAAATTTTATTTAGGAACAAAAAGTAGGTGAGATCTACGAAGAAACCGGATATATCTATCGTATCTAGATAACTTACATGATATAACAAAAAAATCGATCTAACAAGGAATTGGGAGGGCATATGGCAATCCCATTCCTCTCTACTACATGTAGCAAATTAACTAACAAACAAGTAATCATACCATCATTTGCATGCCAATGATCGTTACCAAAACCGAACCCATGACATAGGTTAGAAACGAGTGATTTTGTACATTAAACAGATTGCTACAAGCAAGATTTTGAGTTTGGCAACTCAGATAAACAAAACTTAAATCAAACCACGAAGTCACGAACCCAAGAAACCTACAAGAAGACAGTTTGCTAGAGTTTCGTTACTTAGCATACCGTTTTCGTAGAGTTGAGGAACTTGTTCATTCCCTTTTTTAGCTTTGCTTCATCAATTGGGCCATAACATCCGATAGCCCATTTTCTACTATCTTTTTTTTGGGTCACCAGCCCATTTCTACAATCTTTAATCGTAAATGTTTTTATATTTTTTCATAAACATCAGATGCGATTGTATCCGAGCGACATTCGAAAAGTATAAACCAATCATTCTAGCTCAGTCCCACACCAACAAGTCAATGACTACGTTTATTTTGCATCTGATTTCAGACGTTGTTGTGGTTCCAAATCGAATCTTTCCAGGAAAAGCAAAAACATATCCAGCAGAAAAGTCATATATACTCAAATTCGTTTATTAAGTGATGTAGTTTTCTTACTTTTTACTGTTAGTTACAAATTAGTGTATATAACGACCAAAAAAAGAAAAAAAAAAAGCAAATTAGTGTATCTTTAGTAATTTTACTGTTACCGGTAACTGAATATTCTCACGTTAAACTCCATATAATTTCGTTTTATTATTATAACTGAATATTTTCACCTACAAAATCCAAACTAATCTCCAAATCTTGTAAAAACAGTAGATATTTTTTAAAATCATATCTAAATATCTACAATGATTAACCACGATTAGACTCGAATATTAATATTTTAAGTTTAGATATTTTAGGTGAAAAAAAATCTAAACCAAATCGACATCAAAATAGTAATCATTAAAGAATAACATTTAGTCATTTAGATATGATAAAATTTTAACTAGGGGTTAGCATTTCGGTTTGTTATCAGATCGGATTGAGACTCGGTTTAATTCGATTAAAGTTATTAGTTTCTTTCGGTTATTTCGATTTGGTTTGGTGTTGCAAAACAAACAAAAAACAAATTAATCGAATTGACACAATTATTTAGCATTTGTTAGAAGTAGTTTTCGTATTCTTTTTGGTTCGTTAGTAAATCAAAGGATACACTAGGTTCGGATCCGCGCTATAGCGCGGGGGAAATAATTACATATATATAACTTTTAACGGATTAGAATATGTTACATTTTAATTTTGTTACAGCACAGTCGATTACGGTAAATCATATATATGTATAATAAATTTAAATAAAATAATAAAGGAAAAAGCAAGTAAATAATCATATACTGAGTTCTGATACAATTAAAAACACAGTGAAAATTTAACAGCACAAAATAATATTTGTCGATAAATTATTTATTTGACCATTTTTGTAGTAAAAGTAGGAATATACGTCAAATTTACATATTTACAATATATTTTTTGGAAGTTCAACCCGTAACGGAATTCATTTCGTAAAAAATATTATTCGTAACTCGCTTTATCATTATAATTGTGATTTAACAAACTACCTGTGAATTATCTAAAATTTACGTAGTTTGATATATAATATATTTTATCAATAAAAATTATGTCTCCAAAATTACATTTATGTTTTCAAAAAAATATTTCAATATTTTAAATTCTAAAAGTTTTATATATTTGAACCTTTTATTTATAATATTTTGAAACTATTTGAAATTTTAAAAATGCTCATGTAACAATGGTTTTAATATTGGTCATACTTATAATGATTTGAAACCATTGTCCAAAATATTTAATCGAGTGTAGTTGAGTATTATATGTCCGTTTTGAAAAATTCAAATTGCAACATATTACAAAAAAAAGTTAAATTTTTATTAAATATTTATATTATATAGTATAATATCATAAATTAAAAATAATATCAAATAAAAGTAAAAGAAGAACAATATTTTTTAAATAGATTGTATTAAATTAGTTAGAGAAATATTAGTAAAGCCTATAATTAGTTATGGAAATAATATAATCATAAAATTAGATTTGGAAAGTATCCGGTGTATGTATCCAAACCCATTAATCTATCCAACTTTAAAAGATCCAATTACAAATTTTGGGTAATTTTTTGAAATTAACACGACCCGTAAGCACTTTTTGTACTTCTCTTTTACTAATATAGGGATACACAATTCTAACAAAATAAAATGTTATTAATCGGCAAATTGCATTAAAAAGGAAAAAAGAGAGGATAAAACAAGTATAAACGCAATTCTGTTAAACCATTAATAACTAAACAAAATCCTTTTCACAAATAGCGACGTCTCAGTCAGCAAAGGAAACTTTGAAAATTTAAATTTAATTTAAGTTCCTTCCACATTAATTAATTATTAAATATACTTCTTTAATTAAATATTATTGTTATAAAAAAATAAAATAAAATAAAAAGGCATCGTGACTTCGTGAGAAGAAGCCAGCAAGGAACGATGGCTTCATCATCATCATCATCATCATCATCATCATTGTAAACCGTAATCATATCTTCTCTTACCCTTTTATTCTTCTTCTTTCGCTTTTGCTTTTTTCGTATCTCTCCCTCTTTCATTCCCATTCTCATTCTCATTCTCCGCCTTTCTCTTTTACCAATCGCGAAAAATCTCTGAAATCGCATCTTTGATTTTTTTTTGTTTTCTTGGGTCTTTGTTTCTTAATTTTCATCGGTGTGTCTATGTATCCATGAACTGAAGTTGAATTATTTAGGGGAGATTTTGCTTTTTTTTTTTCTTTTTGTTTGTTTTCTGGGTTTGTGTTGTGGAAATTAGGGTTTTTGTTTAGATTTCGTTGCGAGTAAAAAAAAAATGGACAAGTACGAGCTTGTTAAAGACATCGGTGCTGGGAATTTTGGAGTGGCTAGGCTCATGAGAGTCAAAAACTCCAAAGAACTCGTTGCTATGAAGTACATCGAGCGTGGCAATAAGGTCAAAATTGCATACTTTTGTCTTCTTAGATCAACGATTTTGAGTATGTAATCTTGATCTTTCTTTTTTGTTTTCTGGGTTTGATTTTTTTTTTTTTTGGTGAATTAATAATAGATTGATGAGAACGTGGCGAGAGAGATTATTAATCATAGATCACTTCGTCATCCTAATATAATCCGGTTTAAAGAGGTAAAGTGTTTGGAATTTTTGCTACAAGCTTCATTGGTGGTAATGATCTTGCGGAAGGATGTGTTTTTAAGTTTTTGTTGTTTTCAGGTGGTTTTGACACCAACGCATATCGCCATTGCTATGGAATATGCTGCTGGCGGTGAGTTATTTGAGCGTATATGTAGCGCTGGAAGATTCAGTGAGGATGAGGTGAGTTGCTTCTCTTGGTCATTTTATAAGTCATGGTGGTTTACTAAATTGATCAGTTTCAGAGTTGTATGTGGTTTGAGATTAGTTGAGAGGAGGAAAGAGGAATATGTGTTTGTAAAGCGTTTAAAGCAGCTTCTCGGATTATGATAGCTTTTTGTGCAACATCTTTTGTTATTTCAGGCAAGATACTTTTTCCAGCAGCTTATATCTGGAGTCAGCTATTGCCACGCTATGGTAAGGGTATCAAAATGGCTCACGCAGATTTATTTATTTTAACTTTACAGTTATACAAATCCTTCTGCGGTATCTCTGTGCGTTCTGTACTCACGTTATTTCCTTCATTGTCACAGCAAATATGCCACAGAGATCTGAAGCTTGAAAATACCCTCTTGGATGGAAGTCCTGCTCCACGTCTGAAGATCTGTGATTTTGGTTATTCCAAGGTCTGGCATCTATCCCATAGCACGCACTTGATTTCTTAAATTTTTTTGTCATAACTAGCTCCTTGTTTGTACTCTTTACCTCCATTTGCGAGGGGCCTTGTCACTAATCACTTGGCTGTTTCTCTTCTTTTTTTTAGTCCTCGCTGTTGCACTCTAGGCCCAAATCAACTGTTGGAACTCCTGCATATATTGCACCTGAGGTTCTTTCTCGCAGAGAGTATGATGGCAAGGTAATCTTATTGGTTTGATAGTAGTGGTATATCTAAGTGTGCTAAGCACCTTGATAGCGACAAACATCCCGTGTAGTAATATAGCTCTTTGAACTTTTGATCATGCATAATATTTTGATACATTAAGAAAGCTCAGATAATCCCAAACTTAGCAGAAATCTGCTGTGGCTTTGGTAGATTTGGGCACTCATTTACTAAGGGATTTAGTAAGATCTGTCTTTTATTATTATCCATGACCAGATGCATTTATCATCTAATTTGTTTCCCATCCCTTGCTTGCCTTTTCTGTCTCTTGTGTGTATTTAGTCAATGATAATTGTGAGCTTTCTAACCCTGAGCCATCCATATAAAATAAATGGACAGCTTTTTGGAAATGGATCGTATTCCAAATGTTCATCTTAACAGAAGCAAAGACTATGAAATTGTTATGATCTAATTTGTGTGGATTTGGAAGCATTGTCATGGAAACCATCAATAGTTTGTACTTATATTTGTTCATTCATTCAGATGGCTGATGTATGGTCTTGTGGTGTGACTCTTTATGTGATGCTGGTGGGAGCATACCCATTTGAAGACCAACAGGATCCTAAGAACTTCAAAAAAACGATACAAGTAGGTTTCGTTATTTTTGCACTCTTTGCTTTAAGAAATGGCACGACCCACTAATTGTTGAGCCACATTGCTATAGAGAATAATGGCTGTCCAGTACAAGATCCCTGACTATGTCCACATCTCACAAGATTGCAAGCATCTCCTCTCCCGAATATTTGTTGCCAACTCAATCAAGGTATCACTCTCTCAGAAAACTAGCTTAATCCATCCTGCGAGAGATAATTGCTTGTGTAATTAATTTATCGTTCTTTCTGCAGAGGATTACCATAGCTGAAATCAAGAAACACCCATGGTTCCTAAAGAACCTGCCAAGGGAACTTACAGAGACAGCGCAAGCTGCATACTTCAGGAAAGAAAACCCGACATTCTCTCTCCAGAGTGTCGAAGAGATTATGAAGATTGTTGAAGAGGCGAAAACTCCTGCTCCGGTTTCTCGATCCATAGGAGCATTTGGGTGGGGAGGAGTAGAAGATGCTGAGGAAAAGGAGGAAGATGCAGAGGAGGAAGAGGTTGAGGAAGTAGAGGAAGAAGAAGAAGAAGACGATGAAGATGAGTATGAAAAGACGGTGAAGCAAGTTCATGCTAGCATGGGAGAAGTCCGAGTCAGTTAGAAACACCCAAAAAAAAATGAAAAAAAGTTTGGTTTTCTTTTCAAGAAAGTTTTCTAAAACCAAAAAGGAAACGGTGTTCGTTGGTCTGTCGAATTTGTCTTTTGCAAAGTTATTTAAGAAATTTATTTTATAAATCGCAAAATTTCATTCAGATATCTCATAAACCTAAATCCCTCGATAAGTAAAATATCAGAAAAACGGATTCAAACTCAGCTCAAATCACAATTTCAATTTACAACACTTTGTTTTACTTGTCAAATTTAAATTTCGTATAGTAATATTTTGCATGTTATATTTGTCTTTGAGAGGTGGTAATATAGGAAATATTGATCGTTGTTGTTTTTAAAAGGAAGAATTTAAAAAATCGATATGGAATTATTTTCCTCAAAATTCAAAATATATTTGTTTTTTGATGTCTGTGTGAGGACTGAGGAGAGTGAAGCTTTAACTATCCCGCCATACGGGAATCGCAGAAATCTGTAATTGGAGACGGGCTCTTTCTTCTCTCTCGCCTCGAGACTTGACCGGAAAAGCTTCGCCCCCAGAGTTCATCGACGCCGGAGTTTCACTATCCGCCGCAGAAGCAAAGAGAGTTTCATCGATTTGGAAATGTAATCTCGATCTTCTCAAATTCCCAGTCATGTTTCTTAGGGTTTTTTCTTCGCTTTTTCTCACACCGATGCGTTTCTCACCTGCGAATATGATTACTGCTGCTAAGTTTTGTGTATTTTGCTCGGTGTTCTGTGTGTTAAGATAGGCATCTTCGTTAGTCATAGTAGATCGCTTCATCTCCGAGTTGGAGATCTATTTTAGTTTCTGGATTTGGTTAGTTCTTCGTTCGCCTGAAGAGATCAAAGTTGCAGATTATGAAATTCGTTTTGGAGTAAGCATTGTAGTTTCCATAGCGAACATAGATCACAGCTACAATTCGGTATCTTAAGTTGGTGATATTACGCAATTCCTGCAGTTTTTGCTACAATGTTTAATCAGCACTAATCATAATGCTACTTCTTTTGTTTGTTTTCTTCTGAAGTGTGGTGTTGAAGGAAGAAGATAACATTGTTGGAAGCTCTTCTTCATGTTTAAACTATGAACGGTGCCTTTAAAATAAGGCAAAATTGATCTTCATCTCTGTACAATTTTGGCTTATTAATAATTTCTCCGATTCTTCTAGTTTAATCTGCCTAATTGTCTCATTTTGCCACTGTTAAATGCAGGAGGAGTCATTTCCCTGAAGTTGATAAATCCAGAGGTCAATTTACTCAAACAAATTGGTCGGCACATGCCAAGGCTTTTGAGTGTATACCATCCTTGAATAATTTTATGGGCTCCAACTTCCTTTACTCTATAGAAAGTCAAAAGCCAGGACGAGTTAGAGAAATAGCTGCAACAAGGTATTGCAATATGTTCTTTTGAGGACAATCAGCTCTTTCTCTCTTTTGATGCTGTGCCTGTCTTTTCTTATCCCTGGGTCCAGTTCTGCAGTTGTTTCGTTTCTACTGATGATTACTTATTACTAACTCCCCTGAATTTAAGGATAGTGTTCCACCACGCTATATCATCTAGATTTTCTAGCCGTTTGAATCTGTGTCACTGCTTGTTATGATTCTGAATATAGGTAAGCTTGAGCTAGAATACGGCTGTTGCTTTTTATTTGAAAATTCCCTAGTCAAATGTATGGATTCATTCTTCAGATACATCCAACACCTCCAATTAAGAGAGAGTTAGCTGCTCTCTAGTAAATAAATATCAATGATGGGAACTCCGTTTCAGCTGCCTTTAGGTATCAATTTATTAGCTGAAGTGTCCTACGTGTATCTGAAAACTTGTTTCCCTCTATGTCTAGGTCAATTGAAAACAGCTCCCCTCTAACTGTGCAAACTTTGGCACGGCCACGAATTGAAAAGGTAATATAGTTGAAGGAAAACCTTTGCTATATCTTAATCCTTTCGGCATGTTTATTATGAAGGATTTTTTTCTATAGATTATTTTCTTTCATTTCCTCTCTCCGAGTAGATAATTTAGGCCACCATAGGGTCTGAATTCTCGTTTTTGTTGGATTGATTTTCCCTGACAGAGAAGCCTTATTTCAATCATTGTACATATATATATAACTTGAGTTGTTATCCAATTTCTTCAGGCTTGGTGTACCCTTAATCATTCACTGAATAATACCTATTTGAGACCTGGAATTACTCCTGCAATTGATGATGGCAGCACTGATTGTTCATCTTCGACGAAAGGATCCATTGCTAAAGTTACATCCACTACTGATGGATCTTTCTACGCACACAATCATCCAGAGCATAGTCAACGGAGTGTAAGAGGCATTGCAAAAGCGTTTGACAGTTTCTCCTCCTCTTCGGTAGGTGAAGATAAAATAACTATTGGCAAGGTTTCACAGTTAAAGGATGAGATTAGAGATTCAGTAACCGGATATAAATACACCAATGGGATGCCACCAATCAAAAGTGCCACACACCAAGCTAGGCTGGTGGAACCTAGGGAAGCTAGTCTTGATGAGATTGATTATGATGACATAAGTGAGGTAAAGTTTTTTCCTTGTGGGCAAGAACTTTTTCCTCAATTTGGATTTTGAAGTATCTCTCCGCCCTAGCCGAAGATGTTAACATATTTACTTTGGAGTTGGCACTATTTTTCAGTGGATCTAAAAGGAAATCTTTTAATATTTACTTTGCCGAATGATAGTAATAGATTGACTTCATTGTGTGCTACCTTTGGAGTGCAGATTATTGACGTGGACCAGATTGTGATGGAACACTGCCATTCAACGTATACCGCCCAACCATTAGTATCTAAGTTTACATCAACTCCATCTGTGGATATATTTGTTTCCAGAAGAGAAGAAGAGAAATGTTTGCCTCCTGAATTGTGTTCCAACTGTAGTCATGGAATAAAGGTTTGCCTACCAATTCTCACTTCCTCCATTTATTTCATAAAACAATTATGTCTCTCATTTTGTTTGCTTAATTTCTTACACAGCTAGGGCATTGTCCTGAAGCTTCAACCCATGTGGAACAAATGAAAGACACGCTGCTTGCAATATCTAATGAAATCCTCGACAATACTACCGACTTGGGCCCTGATCATTTTGAAAAGCTTCGTCAAAAGCGGTTCGCATTCCCATCACCTATCAATTATATTCCCTTTTTCTTTGCTTTGTCCATTTTGGAAATAAGTTAGCTTCATTCAGGGGCTGTGACACATTCATTCACACAGAAACCTTATTAAGAAATTATACAGCAAGAAGGAATTAGGCCTAAAGAAACATCTGATAACATGTGTGCTTTTTGATTTTTATTTTCGTTAATTGCAGAGAGTATGCTGTGAGTTCTGACGTAGTTTCTAAGCTGTTGACACTTGTATTGTTGCTAGGTTACTGTTGAAAAAGCAAATTCAGCAACTCGAAATCCTTATCCAAAATACAGAATGCGAAAAATCTCAGGGTTTGGTATTAACAGCTAATCAGAGTATTCAGTATGAAACACCTCAAACAACAAATCATCAGATGGTTTATGCGCAGACAGATTCTCGAGCTCATGTAAAAGAGCAAGGCAGAAATGTAACTGATAACTGGAATAGGCCAGAAGACTATTTATTTTCTGAAGATAGGAATGGTCTTTCATCTGGTCCTGTACAGAGGAAACAATATATTCCCGAGAATATAGATGTCACTTATACCGAGAGTTCAAATGAACAAAGGTGGAGCCGTCGTGATTTCCCTTGGACGAAAAATCTGGAGGTAACTGGTTATCTGTCTTTCGCAGTTCTTTTATTTACATCCCTCCTGTGTACTCATGTGCTACATTGCAATGATTAGGTCTATAACAAAATAGTGTTTGGAAACCACTCATTTCGACCCAACCAAAGAGAGATTATTAATGCTACAATGAGTGGTTGTGATGTTTTTGTTTTAATGCCAACCGGAGGGGGGAAAAGCTTGACATACCAGGTAATGACATCTTAACTGTTACATTGAAATGCCATGTTATTTGAAAAGTACCTCTGGCTTTTATGCTAAACTCAGACTCTTGCTTACATCCTGTAAAAAAAGCGAGATGACAGTTTCAAATTGTTTTCGAGGGTAAAAGTAAAAGTTAGTGTCTATCCTGGTGGAGGTTATACTTCAGTGTCAGAAGAGTTGTGTCTGTATTTAGAACCTCAAAACGTCTTCATAACTTCTTTTTCTCTGCAGCTCCCTGCTCTGATCTGTGCAGGAATAACTTTAGTCATATCTCCACTTGTTTCACTCATTCAAGACCAGATAATGAACTTATTGCAGGTGATGACTTTAGCAACCCCATATATATTGTTTTTGTTTTTCTATTTTTTTATAAGCTGTGCGGTCAGAGATTTTGTCCTAATTTACACTTTCGTTTCTAATTAATGGCTATAGACCAATATACCTGCTGCTTCCTTAAGTGCTGGAATGGAGTGGGCTGAACAACTAGAGATACTTCAGGAGCTAAGCTCGGAGAATTCAAAATACAAGTTACTGTATGTCACACCAGAAAAAGTGGCAAAGTGAGTGATACTTTTCTTTAGTTGTCGATTCTCAAAAAAATGTGTGCATTTAAAAATCCCACACCAGATAGGAGTGGAACAAATCAAAGCCTTAGAAGGCCTAAGCATAGATGTGGAAAGTATTGCAAGTCTTTCCTACTGTGAAAGATACTAAGAAGGTTGTCTTTCTTGGCTACAGAAGTGATTCCCTTCTAAGGCACCTTGAAAGCTTAAACTCCCGTAGTTTGCTTACTCGATTTGTTATTGATGAAGCTCATTGCGTGAGTCAATGGGGGCATGACTTTCGACCAGACTACCAGGTTAAGCCTCTTTGAAGCTTAAAATAGATAGTCCTCTTACATTGCTCGTGTCTGTTTTTAAGAAACATAACCTTCCTTTTTTTTCTCCAAAAAAATGCAATATGCAGGGTCTTGGTGTTCTGAAACAGAAGTTTCCTAACATTCCCGTCTTAGCTTTGACAGCTACTGCAACAGCCAGCGTAAAAGAAGATGTTGTGCAAGCTCTTGGTCTGGCTAACTGTGTTGTGTTCCGGCAAAGTTTTAATCGCCCAAATCTATGGTAATGTACTGAAAATAGCTTAAAACGAATTCTTCGTGTTGCTTATCATAAAACGTTGCAGGTATTCTGTTGTGCCCAAGACAAATAAGTGTCTTGAAGATATTGACAGTTTTATCAAGGAAAACCATTTTGATGAATGTGGCATCATTTATTGTCTTTCAAGAATGGACTGCGAAAAAGTCACGGATTCTTTGCAGGTTGGTAGTTTATTTACCTTTCTCTTATCTTGTTAATTTGGAGGTTTTTACATATAGTGAGTGTACCACATATAATGTGTTCCAATTTCAGGCGTTTGGCCGTAATGCGGCCTTCTACCATAGCAATATGGATCCTGGTAAACGTGCCTTTGTACAGAAAAAATGGAGCAAGGATGAAATCAATATAATATGCGCTACAGTGGCATTTGGAATGGGTAAATGAATGGTCTTTGTTATAGCCACTTTGATTGATTGAAGTTTTCTGCATGCTAACGTTGGTTTTTTCAGGAATCAATAAGCCCGATGTTCGTTTTGTCATTCATCACTCTCTACCAAAGTCCATAGAAGGCTATCATCAGGTGTTTTATTGAACATTGAATTATGAATGTTCTTGTTAGCTGATTTACATCAATTGCGTACAACCTTATAACAGCTAAAAACTCACATAGGCTAATTTTTGTTCTCATGCAAGGAATGCGGTCGTGCTGGTAGAGACGGCCAGCGGTCTTCATGTGTTTTGTATTACAGCTATACTGATTATGTAAGTTAAATAAATCTGACACAATAAAAGTTACTACTGGGAGAAATACCTACACTTTTGGTCATGTCTGTGGTTGTTTTTTCAGATTCGAGTGAAGCATATGATTAGCCAAGGAGGACTTGGCCAAGGCCATATGACAATGGGATATAATCGTAAAAGTTCAGGGAGGATGCTTGAATCGAACACCGAAAACCTTCTCCGCATGGTATATATTGGCAAGATTCCTTTTGTTTGCTTTCCAGGTTCTAACTCAACTTGCTGAGATATATTTCCAAATTTTGCTGCTTCAGGTTAGTTACTGTGAAAATGAGGTGGATTGTCGACGTTTCTTACAGCTAGTTCATTTGGGGGAAAAATTTGATTCGACAAACTGCAAAAACACATGTGATAATTGTTCCAGCATCAAAAGCATGGTTGACAAAGATGTAACTTTGATTGCAAGGCAACTGGTATAGGAATCATTTAAAAGTAATGTACTGTACCTGCTGTATGTTGTATCGTGTGATAACCACAATCTTTTGTGGCTATAGGTTCAACTGGTGAAGTTAACAGGAGAAAGGTTTTCATCAGCTCATATTGTAGAAATCTACAGGGGATCCTTAAACCAGATGGTATGTGTCAACAACGCATTTATATTTGTTTTTATTTCCGTAATTCGTTAATAAGAACCCTTGCTGTCTCATAAACCATGTGTACATTATTTTACTGGTATCCTCAAGCCCATAAATCCTATCAGTTCACTGAGCCACTTGCAAGTAATTGGCTTTCGGCTTTTAGGTAAAGAAAAACAGACATGATGCTTTGCACCTGCACGGAGCAGGAAAGCATTTGGCAAAAAGTGAAGCCTCTCGTATCTTGCACTATCTTGTGACAGAGGATATTCTCGCAGAGGGTGTACGAAAAAGTGATCTATATGGGTCTGTATCGTCGTTGCTGAAGGTATATATCTAATTTCGCTTTTTAACTATATTTGTTGTTGCTGAAAGAGATCTGTGTGGATATCTATTGTGGTTGTTGGAGGTTCTTTTTGGGTAAAATATTGGTCTATGTGCTTTCCGCTCTGGTTAATTAAGCTTGCGAATGGATGTGCCTGCGTAGAAATATATCTGTGTAGTAACATCCATTTATCTATCCTTTTATATAGGTGAACAGATCAAAGGCGGTCTCACTCCTTTCTGGAGGCCAGACTATGACAATGAGGTTTGACTTTACGCTTGAGATTTCTTTAGTATTCGCATGAACTACTTAAAACCAAATCTTCGTCATCAGTAGCGCCAACGTAGGGGGAAATGACTTTGGAACAGCAGAGCTTTAGTGTTTCTGCCTAAAAATTTATCTGCTCTTTACTCCAATGCTACTGCTGTTACTATTTGTTTTGATAAAGGTTAAATTTAATGAGATTGACATATATTTTACAGATTTCCAGTGAAAGTATTAAAGCCGAGCAAATCTACAGCAAACCCAGCCAAAGTTCCACTAAAGCAAACTACTCTTCCAATGGCAAATACTGCCCCAAAAAGTTCGGTATATATCTTCTTGAATCCGTGTTTTCCTTTTCTTGCTCAAAGTTTAAACCACCTCTCAAAGGCTAAAGGCTGCTTCATTTTCCTCACTGTTGGGATAGAATCTGTCCGACAATTTGTTCACAGCCTTAAAAAAGCTTCGTACTGATATCGTCAAAGAATCCTCAGATGTGGCGCCATACCATATATTCGGGTAAGTACATTATCCGTTTTCGTGACAATGTTTTGTTTCTTTTTTCCGGTCACAAGTAATAGAAAAACCCCTCTGTGTTTGTAGCAATGCCACGCTTCAGCAGATAAGTAAACGTCTTCCCAAAACCAAAGAGGAACTCCTCGATATCAATGGTCTAGGAAAGTAAGTATCTTTAAGCTTTTTTAGACTCTTACTCCCTCTAACCAAAGCAATGAACAAAACGTAGGGGAACTGTTGATGTTTATCTAAACTCTCAACAGAGCCAAGGTGAGCAAGTACGGTGATCGGTTATTGGAAACCATAGAATCAACCATCAACGACCACTCCAAAACCGTTCCTGGTTCAGGGAAGAGGAGAAGAGACGAGAATGTATGTCCGAATGTGGCAGACGATGATGATTCCGACTGGACTGCGAGTCAATCCCACAAAAAGGCAGTGAAGAAGAAAAAGTAACACGGTTAAATAAGCTTTACAGGTTACACAAAAAAATATATATAGATATATATATTTACAATAATAGTGATTATAAATCTGTTAAGAAAAATGGCACTCATGGGATCATAGACCGGCTCGAATTTATCAACCAGATATGCACCTAGACCGGGCACATGTCAAGCAACAGGTCATGGACCGGGATGTCATTTAGGGTTAGATTAAGCAAATCTTTGTACCTAAGAGTAGTATACAAGTACAGTGTATTATTCATGAGGGAGTAGTTTATACTTCAAGTCAATCGATACAAGTTTTTAGTGTTCCAAAGTCCAAACTATCATTACTCATTAACACTAAGCCCAAGTAAAAGCTACTTACTTTTAAAGTCTTTCAGTTAATTTTTTTTTTTTAAACTAATTTTGAGTTTTCTCTTAATGCAGCTATAATAGCAGTCTCTCTCAGTTTTTCATTTTCTTTTTTTAGGAGTTGATTAAAACACTAAAACCTAGATTGATATTCTTTCGAGATACCTAATAAAGTTGATAAAGAATTGCTTAAAAATTCTCTAATTTATAACCTGAAGCAATAAAAAATTATCAAAGAATTGAAGGGCTGCAACATGATGATAGTAACAAGAATCACAAGAGAGAGCTATAACATGAAAGTCATCACATATAGCTCCAACATCAATAGTTATGTTCACCCTCTTTACTATGAATGAGTGTAAGTTTTTCTTGTATATACACATATATTCGAATATCGTTTTTTCTTGTGTTTATTCTCAAAGTTCTGTTGGTGCGATCGATGTATAGGTGTGAGGATGGAGAGATTGAGAAATCGAACTCCCAAAACGTCAGTAAAGAGTGTTACTCGGCCTGGCCCATGCCATGGTACCTCATTGTTGGTGGCACTTGGTGCTACAAACATTTTGAACACTGTTGGTCAGGCACAACTGGTCACGACTATTGCAAGAGGCAATATAACCTAAGTTTTAACCCTGGATTAAACAATAGAAGCACGAACTATTTCTACATATTTTATTTACTACTGTTTTGTTTACTAAAAGAAATACACATCTCCCAAAATTATAGACGTTTCTATTAGATCACACATTGAAAGCCCAATTAGTGTCATAAAAACAGCCCACTAAGCCATGTGTTTAGGTTTTCATCAAAAGAGATTCATATATAAACTTGTGTAGTGTGAAGAAAAAATGTATCTTTGGGAGTTTGCCTCAGCCCTGGCTCAAGTTTTGTGTGGACCTTGTGCTAAACAAAAAATGTTCTTAATTTAGGGCATCTCCAACCCTGAACCTGTATAAAAAGTGCATAAAAATATTTTATTAATAAACTGTAATCAAATAAAAGAAAAAGAAATAAAGAAAGAAAAGAGACATAGAAAGAGAGAGTGCCGAGAGAGGAGAGAGAAAGAGAGAGAAAAAAAGTTTTTTTGCAACAGCCAATAATTTCATACCACGTATGTTTAGCACCCACTCCTTAAGTCTGTTAGTTAAGGGGCGTTTTCTAAAAGATTAATGAATTTTGATTTAATTTTAATGAAATTATAGTTTAGAGACTCACCTTTTGGAGGTGGTCTTAGGGTCTTATTTGTAGATTTTCAAAATTTTGGGCCCTTATTGATAGAAATATTAAATATTGAGGACACTAAAACCTAATAAAAAAATTAAAATCAATGAGTCCCAGTGCAAAACCACTTCTGGCGCCCCTACGCCAGACCTGAGTTGTCTTATGTGGTAACTCTCTTCTTAAACTTTGTAAAAAAACAATCAAAAATCATTTAGCTCTTGGTGACAATCTAAAGGCGCTTTCCTTTTCTCTTAGTTTCTCTATAGAAAAAGCTCATTCATAATCAACCATTTTGAGATTGCTTAGAGTTTCTGTTATGTTTGCTTATGCGTCTGGAAAAAAGTAGTTAACAAATTTTCAAATCAGTTTCTTTCTTTAGGGTTCTAAATAAAACTTAAAACTTATTTGGCAAAATGTTTTGATTTTACTTTTTGGACAAAAAAATCAAACTTCATACATACATTTTGACTAAAGAAATGATAATTTGAATAAATATTATATTCGATTTCTATCAATCGGTCTATTTTTTACAGCTTAGAATTTTGAAACCTAATCGACGGAAAAAAGAGCAAATGAAATTGTTTATCCTTGTATTTGTGTCACCGGATATCCAATAGGTTATATTCTCATTCAACTGAAATCTAATTTTATTCTTGACCCAATGAAATGATAGTTGAATATGTAAATTTACTTTGGACCCAATAAATAGTTGGAACTTGGAACATCTACTAATAAGTAAACTTGATCAAAAATAATAATTGAATTTCTTAACAGAGATATTGGAATGTTGACCAAGACATTTGAATATAAAATCTTGCAAATCAAGAGATATATTCCTCGAATTATTGTCTTTCTTAACTAAAAATTGATCTATGTCTTTATATATCGATTTTGTCCCCCAAAAAAAAAAAAAACTCTTTATATATCGATTAAGAATGAATAAAAATTACAACAAACCTGTTTCAAAAAAAAAAAAAAAATTACAACAATTCACAAGACAACAAAATATCACAACACAATTATTTGACATCCAAGCTACGATGAAGTCAGCACATGTAGCTCTAATCTGCATAGTCATGCTCTCTATCTCCGCTCTTCATGAGTGTAAGTATTTACGAATATCTCTTTCTTTAATCCATTTTCAAAGTTTGGTTTGTGTTTAAAAAATCATATAATCCATGATATGTAGGCGTGAGCAATGAAGTTAGAGAGATGGAAGGAGAACCGATCTCCCTAAACGTTGATCAAGAGTGTATTCCTGGTCCATGCCATCCTTTGGTACCTCATTGTTGGTGCTGCGAACATTTACGCGGTATCAGGCCACAATGCTGTTGGTCAGGTAGCACTGGTCGCGACTATTGCAATATGCAATGTAGGTTATAAATCATTTGTACGTAGTACTTCTGCCTACTCATGCAATCGAACCTTTTCCAAGCAGTCTTATAATAACGCTTGCTTGTACTAGCTAGTTCTCTTTATTTTCTTTTCTTTTCTTTTTTTATATAAATATAAAATTCAAGTTTCTATCTATGATGCGAAGAGTATGAGTTTAAGAAACATATTAAATTACCAATCAAGATTACGAAAAATTTAATATGTTTGGCGATATAAATCATGTCATATGGTTAATTAGTTAATATATAGATATAGTCTTCCGAATAAATTAGTGTGTTTCTTGGCTCGCAAGAAACCGTCTGTAAAGTTAGGGTTTGGCAGATGGGAGACCGAGAATGAACACCCTCGCTCACTTATAACGGAGAATTAGGATATTTTCCTAATTCGTTACAATAAATTAGTTTTGTACTTTTACTTTTTTCATGGTTTAAAGTAAGGAAAAGGAAAATTAGAAAACAGTACTCTTGTGTTACGAAAATTGTCAAGATTAGGAAACATCCCATTATGGAAATTTTCTGAATAGAGAATCGAAGTGCGAGAGAGATGAGAAGACGAGTGCACTAGTATAAAGAGAGGACGATATGTAAACAATCTCTGTCTTTCTGTGTGTGAATTGTCTTTCTTTCTTACAATAGCAAATATGGGAGGCACAAAACGTAAGATCAAGATCGAGAGAATCGAAAAGAAAAGTGTTAAATCTGTTGCTTTCACGAAACGCAAAAACGGTCTCTTCCGTAAAGCTACAGAGCTCTGTCTTCTCTCTCCCGCAACTCAAATCGCAATCTTAGCGACTCCTCTTACTGCCAACTCTCATGCTTCTTTCTACTCTTTAGGCCATCCCTCTGTCGACCAAGTTGTGTCTTCTCTGCTCAACGATCAGCCTCCTCCTCCGGTAAACCAAGAGAATTACAACAGTTCAGGGTTAGAGTTTTGGTGGGAAGACAAAGGTTTTGATATATCAGAGAACGTGGAAGAGTTGAAAGAGGCGGTCGATGCAGCTTCGAGGATGTTGAACAATGCTAGGGTTCGGTTAGATGATGCCTTGAAGAACAATCAAAGAGATGGAAGTTTAGTGATGCATCAGGAGGATGAGGTTCTTCAGCTTGGCAACGAATACACAAATCAAATTCCCAAGTTCCAAGGCGAAACTTCTGCTTCTGCAAGTTTGTTAAAGTATGAAGAGGATAATCTACACCTTGATGATTTTTTTACTGATTTCAAAATTGATCCTTTTTGATTTTTTTATCATCATGTCAGGTTTAGGCTACAATCTAACCTACATAATTAACGGGTGCTTCTTTTTTTTTTTTGGTGTTTTGATTCCGGAACAAAGCTGCTAATCTAAAACCATAAATATTGTTTAGTTTTATTGAAACTGATATACATAAAATAACAAAAAAGAAAGGTTTCTTTCATTTGATTTTTACAACTTAGTTGTCAATTATTTCTTGAGTAAATAATTTAAGGAATTGTATAAAAGGATTAAAACACAGGTTGCAAAGAATCAGGACTTTGCAAACACATCAATCAAAGATGATTTCTTTGTTATAAAAAAAAATAATTTTGGACAAAACAGAAACGATAAATTATTGATTCTTGCCAAATTATAGCTTAACACATATTGACATATAGAATCAAACTGTGAAAGAGAAGGCATATAAAGGATATAAGTCCTTGTCCTGAAACACACAACGCAGTTATTGATCATGTTCAAGCAACCCGGAGCCCTTGAATTTCTCATGCATCAGGCCATCGATTCTTGCTGCCATCTCCGGAGTCAGGTGGTTGTGCCAATCTCCGACCATTCCCTTCCTGAAATACGCGCTATTCGAATAATGAACATAAGGAATGTCCTCTCTGATTTTGTCCCCTTCGTTCACTTCAAGATTCTTTAATGTCTCGAAACTGCAAAGATTCACAACTTTCTCAACAACTCCTTCCTTCTCTTCCTCAGCTGTGAAACCATAACCCATAAACTGAGCCAATCTCTTCACATACGGCAACGGATCAGCTCTTACTGTCTCGTATTTGAGGAACAATATCTTATCTGGATTTTCTTGGTAAGCTTTCCAATACCCCAAGACATGATCTAGATAAGGACCATAAAGAGAAACACCTCGACAGAACATATCAAAAGACTCCTCAAGAGTAATGAGAGGGCCATAGTCTAACCATTGCTTTTGCAAAAAGGTCCACATGGAGATGAAAGTGTCTTTTGGGTCTCTCCATATGTAAACCATCTTACAACCCGATTTGGCTACAGAATTTGGTAGTAACCCGTGTGGAATATGAGTCGAAAACAGAGTGTTTCCTTCATCTTTGAGAGCATCAACTTGAGGGAAGAAAGCAAATTCGTTCTCAATGTATAGAACAAGCTCATGAGGATTACGTTTTAAGAGAGGGTTGGAGATATTCTCGAAGCGAGATCGATTGATGATGGCGAAAGTAAGAGCCTTGAGCCAAGTGGTACCTGTCTTTAAGGAGCTACAAATGAGGAGGTCAAAGGAACGTGCTTGGAAGAACTCTTGCGCGTGAAGGCAACCTTCCAGAAGAAGCTGTATGAACCAGCAACCACCATATTCGATCATCGGACCTTTCATTCTCCAGCCTTTCGTGTGAGGAAAGGTGGCAATGAGGTCTTGATACCGTTTCTGATTCTTCTCAAACTCTGTTGGCTCTGTCTCTGCCTTCTCGTGGTGGCTTGGTACGGTAATGTGTGATTCCATTAAAGAGAGAGTAAGAGTATTTGAGGAACACATGCATGTTGAGCTATGTTGAAGATGAACTAATATAACTTAATAAACCATCCAACAGTCACATATCCTTAACCTCAGCCATTAGATCTCAAAAAATCTTAAATGTCAAGACATGCATTGGGTAACTTATCTTCACACATGTGTCTACCTACAACCACCCTATTGAGATAGTTATCAAATATTATATCAGATACTGATCTCTACGGGAGGCCAAAACTATGATTTTAATAACTTTAGGGTAAGTGCATATTTAATACCAATAAACCACCACACCACAGGTGCTACATTTTTCTTTTCCTACTTTGTTTATTACTTTATTATACGAAATACAAATTTAGAAAACTACCTACATTTTATATATAATCTGAAATTTTTTAAAATCGAAAAATAAAATATTATAAAGTTTAGTGTTTGATGAAACCAAACTATAGTATACTCATGATTGATTGGTCCTTGAATAAGTATAGCTGGCCCTTCATTCGCTACTATTGCAATATTCATTTTCTAGACAAAGTTTTTTTTTTTTTTCACATTACTTAAAAAAGCCACCGGTGAATCTCTTTGTCTAAGTTGGTATGTTCATAAAGTAGAATGTAGAATCCGACTCAAAATAAAGAATAATCTCATTTTTAAAGCGTCTCTATAATTTGTCTTTCTATAGATTTGTTGGATTCGGATAGTTCTAATTTTCTGAAAATCCGGATCCGTTCCACCCTGTCCATTATAAAATAAAATTCGGAATGAGAAATCAAATAAATGGAACAAGAAAAGAAAGAAAGATGGGAATACTGTTGTCTAAAGAGATCGAGATCACGCTCCCCTTAGCAGAGAGTCTCTTTCTGAGAGTGTCATAGTATTGGCGTTCTTTGCCGACAAAAAAAAAAAAAAACGTCGAGTTCACATAGGAAGATACAAACAAATAGTCTCTGTCTTGTTCTTACAGTAGGGAGAAGACACAAAACATAAGATGGAGATTGAAAAAATATATCAAAAGGAAAGAACAATATCAAAAGGATGATGTTGTCTAGGATTTTGAACAATGTGAGGCTACGAATAGATGATCGATGATGTCTATGAAGAGCAATTAAAAGAGATGAAAGTTTAGTGATTCATTAGGAGAAGGATCTTCAGCTTCGTTACGAAGACACAAATCAAAATACTAATTTTAACTATTTTTATTAACGAGATTTATTCTTGCCAAATTACAACTTAACACATATGGAATCAATATAAGAAAAAGAAGGTATAAAAGGATGCGTCATTTCCCTGAACTTGACACCTTCATTGATCATGTTCAAGCAAACCAGAGCCCTTAAATTTCTCATGCATCAGTCCATCGATTCGAGCTGCCATCTCCGGAGTCAAGTGGTTGTGCCAATCTCCGACCTTTCCCTTCCTGAAATATGCACTGTTAGAAAAATGAACATAGGGAATGTCCTCTCTTATTTTGTCCCCTACGTTCACTTCAAGATTCTTCAATGTCTCGAAACTGCAAAGACTCACAACTTTCTCAACAACTCCTTCCTTCTCTTCCTCAACTGTGAATTCATACCCCATAAACTGAGCTAATCTCTTCACGTACGACAAAGGATCAGCTTTCATCGTCTCGTACTTGAGGAACAAAATATGATCTGGATTCTCTTGGTAAGCTTTCCAATACCCCAAGACATGGTCTAGATAAGGACCGAACACAGAAACACCTCGACAGAACATATCAAAAGACTCCTCAAGAGTAATGAGAGGGCCATAGTCTAACCTTTGCTTTTGGAAGAAGGTCCACAAGGAGATGAAAGTGTCCTTTGGCTCTCTCCATATGTAAACCATCTTACAACCCGATTTTGCAACAGACTTTGGTAGTAATCCGTGCGGGATATGAGTAGCAAACAAAGTATTTCCTTTGTCTTTGAAAGCATCAATTTGAGGGAAGAAAGCAAATTCGTTCTCAATGAAAGGAACAAGCTCATGAGGGTTATACTTTAGGAGAGGGTTAGAGGAATCATCGAAGCGAGATCGATTAACGATGGCGAAAGTTAGAGCCTTGAGCCAGGTGGTACCTGTCTTTACCGAGCTACAAATGAGCAAATCAATGGAGCGCGCTTGGAAGAACTCTTGAGCGTAAAGGCAACCTTCCATATGAGGCTCTATGAACCAGTAACCACTATACTGGATCATTGGAGCTTTCGGTTTCCAGCCTTTCGCATGAGGAAAGGTGGAAATTAGGTCTTGGTACCGTTTCTGATTCTTCTCGAACTCTGTTTGCTCTCTCTCGACCTCATGGTGGTGGCTCGGGATAGTAGTGGAGGATTCGATTGGAGATAGAGAAAGAGAATTTGATGAACTCATGTTGTGTTATGTTGAAGATGAATGCTGGTCTGTGTCAATCTCAGCCATTAATATAAAGATTTGGTTTGGGTTTAGTATTCTTGAATTATAATATAAACGTAACGTAAGTAAAGTAAGATATCCAAAATGCCACTTATCATTAATCTCAGCCATTAGATCTCAGGAAATCTTCAATCTATGACATTTGTTGGGTAAACTTATTTCTAAGAGATTTTGTAACTTATAATTCACACATGTGTTTACACCCTATTGATCTGAGAACATTGATCTCTGCGAGAGATTCCAAACAGATTACTAAACTAACCAAAGTTATGAAGCCGGAGTTTGCTCATAGAAACCACCGGAACACCCCATGGTCCATCGAGATGATGCCTTGAGAAGCAAGTTCCTAGTGTACCTTGTATCAGTTAAGCAAACCCATGCAAGTGTGCCCTAATTACAAACCATCCCCATCAAAATGTTGCTTCAATTACATCAGTTTATACTATATTTTCAATTCGCTAAAATAATCGGTCAACACAGCCGGGATCGAACGCGGGAAAAAAAAAAGAAGATCTCAGACTAAGGCTATGTCATCTGATAAGTCAGAAGAATGCGAAGGACCCAACAACCGCTAGAGCCATTTTCCTCACAGATCAAATTGCACCAGCCGGGAATCGAACCCGGGAATGTACCGTGGCAGGGTACTATTCTACCACTAGACCACTGGTGCTACCTGTTTTATAGCCTTCATTTTATATATTTATTAATATGTATATTAAATATTCATGCCACCCAAAAATACTGTAACTGGGATTAAAATGGAGCAGAGAATATTCACATCTATGTAACTATGTTGCTAAGAGATCCAAACTAACGAAGATGATGAAATCTTAAGAGTACACCAATACTACTCCTTCACGGTCGGGTCGCCTAGATGACAAATGGTGAATTTAAGTTAGATTTTAATTTAAGACAATGAAAGATGCTTAAAACATTATCAAAACGATTATCATTTTCAACGTGAAGTTGAGGAAAAGAAAAAGAAGAGCTCAGTTACCCTCCATATCTCATCATAAATCAGAGAATTGCGAAGGACCCATCCTACGCTGAAGCCATTAATCCTCACAGCTCAAATGCACCAGCCGGGAATCGAACCCGGGTCTGTACCGTGGCAGGGTACTATTCTACCACTAGACCACTGGTGCTACTTGTTCAACTGATCTTTCATTGCTTTATTTATTATCTAATATGACATATTTCAATGTTAAGGTCAATTGAAATGACTAAAGATGGTGAGGATTTAAGCTTTTCGACGTTTTCTACTACGCATTTTGCATATTAAGGTCTTTCAAACTTATAAGCTGCGAGACAAAATAATTTAACTTTAGTGTTTAATGAAAGCAAATGCTAGAATTAGTGGCTGGATAAATACTATAATTCACTCATACTATTGCAGTCATTTTCTAGACAAACAAATATCTCCATGTAGAAGACAAACAAACAAAGATCCAAACTTGTTCGTTGCTAAGAGCTCCAAACTAAAGCTTAAGAAGACGTTAGTAGATATCTTAGTCTTCGTAGTCGCCTTGCGCATACTTGTTTTCAGAGTAATACACAGCCACCACTTGGTTTCCTCCAAATTTTCTTCCGTTCATTCCCGATCTAGCCTTTGATGAGCCATCCACATCCGCATATTCTAAGAAAACCTGCATTCATATCATTATAATTAGAGTATGCACTATATGTATGATTTTCATAGACGTTGTCTCTGAGAATTGAAATTGAACCTTTCCGACTCCTGGTGTTGGATCATGATCTGGATTGGGCCTCGGAATCACAACATTCACCAAGTTACCTGCACACAAAAATGAATTGTCAAAGTTATTTACGGCCATGTAAAAAAACTAATGGTAGAATGTTGATTTGCTTACCGAATTTTCCACCTTCTTGTCTCATGTCCTCCATAATGTCTGCATATTCTTCATCGTCTCTAAGATCATCAGCTGTAACCACCTGAGTCAAACAGACAATCTTGGTGGGAGTGCCTCCTGGTTGTAACATAAGCCTCTGCTATAGTAAGATTTAATTAGTGATCTTCTAGGTAGAGTGAAAGCCAAACAATTATGGAAACGAACTATAAGGAAAACAGACAATCAAGCAAGTCAATTTGAATCACCTGAAAAGCAATCTGTTGTTGAGCATGAAGTAAGATTTCTTCTTGCTCGGGTTTAGGTTGAACTGCACCCTGGATTGCACGCCTAACTGTAAGTGTCTTATCACCCATCTTAATCCCATTTAGAGCGGCACATGCAATATCTGTTACTGAAGGATCTTGGTAAACACAGAACGCATATCCCTTTGAATTTCCAGTTTCCCTGTCTTTGACCAAGTTGAAACCTCTTAGGGGACCAAAAGACTCTAAAAGCTCCCTGATCTGTGCCTCTGTGAAGTAATAAGGAAGCCCGCCCACAAAAATGCGGTCAGGACCCTCAAGCCCACCAGTAGACCCCGAAGACAATCCAACAGCCGCCAAGTTCAGGCTGGGATTAGGCTGGCTCGGACCAAGAGTTGCAGCAAGGGACGGATTATAGTCAGTTGGCCTCCTAACCTTTACAGGAACTCCCTGGAGATGGTCAAAGCTATAATTTTAATACGCACAATATAGATTGTAACTAATAAAACCGTACGTCTAAATTGTAGACTAGATAATTAATCACCTCTAGTATAATGCCGTCTAATGCCATTGCGTTACTAGCCTCCTCAACAGATCTCATCTCTACAAAAGCAAACTTCTTTTCATGGTTTATATAAACATTGACCACCGCATCACCTATATATAAGAAATCCCAAAAAAGGATGAGTATTGTCTTGAGTCTAGACATGTCAGTAACCTTGAACAAAAAAACAATGAACTTTTCAGTACCTGGCCCAGCAGTGTTTCCCCCAATGGCCGACATCACTTGGCTAAAGAACGTAGCCACCGACTAGTCATGGAAACCATTCTTAGTATTCATACAATGGTTATTGCCATAATTATGGCTTAGCTAAACCATAATAAACAAAAAGTCACAAAGACTTAAAACAAAACAAATAATAATAACACACCTGTTCATTTGCAGTTGGTGGAAGCCCACCAACATAGACTCTCCGAGCATGCCTAGTTGCCTACGATCGTAATACAATTTAGGAGGGGAAGCATGAAAAAAGTAAAGAAGCTGAGAATAAGATAGATTGATAGATCTTACCTGCTGAGTCATTGCCTGAACTGGCATTACAGGTAGTGTGCCCAGTTGCTAGGTGAGAAGAAAGAATGTGAAGTTACGAGCATTTTCGTATCAAATAAGAAAAAAGAGGAACATACAGATAACAAAAAAAGAAGCAAAAAGTATGGATTTATACCTGACCAGGGACCATCGGGAACATGTTGGGGAACATCCCTGGAATAGTAGCAGCAGTAGGCACACTAGGAACCTGGCCTGCTAGGTAATGTGTTACGTGTCATTTAATGTTTGTTAGACCATTATTATGTTTCCCGGAGGAGTAGACCTACCAATAAGTACAAAGCTACAAATAATAACATGCTACCAGCAAAACCGAACAATAAACATATCCCATCAACTTATGAATATTCAGATGGAAAGCGCAATGCGATTCGTTTCGAGTAGTCAAAATTTGTAAGGCTAGAAAACAGGCATATAGTTGCCAGTCGAAGATGAAAAATACCCATAACAACCGTTGCCCTGATTCCTCCTTGTACAATTAAAGCTAGAGAGGCCGGCTCATTGTCAGCACAGTGGGGCAACTAACCCAACATAGCCTTCTTACTACAAAAAGACAAGACACAGAAACAAACAAACACCACCAAAGAAAGACAAAACAAAAAACTTCTCAGTTCCAGAACCACTTCACCAGGCAACAAAATTAACAAGACATCCTACGAAGAAAGTAAGACTTTAAAGTCTTCTGGTCACAAGTAAACAATATATGCAGCTTACCAAAATCACAGCGTGTAATTGATTATGATCTTTCCAAACTACGTAAAACCAAAAACAACAAGCAGTTAAGTAATATAATAATGTTGAGTAGATGATGAAGCATATACCTGCGGTAGCAACAGCAGTAGCAGCTAACATTGCAGAAGCAGGGGGCGCCATATCAAATCCACTTACCCTCTTGCTGAAAGAGCAAAATTAAGCGGTCAGATATCAGTTGAAGCAGCGACGAAAAAATATTGCCTGAGGTAGACCTAAGAAACACACATAAACAACAACCCAAGTAACACTACATCTTTTTGTTCGTACATAGGTACATTCCCAATTAAGATAATAACAGCTGCAAATAAACCTCAAGGATAATTATTTTTTACAGACCCATACGGCTCATATAAAGGAGAAATTATTCTTTCCAGCAAAAGACCTGATATTTATATTGTAATTCAAAAAGATAAAGGCTTAAGGATGAAACAATAGTGAGTTTATTTTGAAGATGAAACAATGATGAGTTTATTGATAAGTTATCTATGACATTGCAACCTCGCCAGAAAATGAACTTGTTATAATAAATATAAAAATAACAGAGAACTCAGGTACCTCTTTGACCGTGACCGTGAGCGAGAACGTGATCTATGTTCAGACCTATGCCTATGTTCTGACCTACGCTCGGAGCGGCTCCTAGACCGAGAGCGTGACCGCCGCCTGTGCCTCTCTTCTCTGTCTCGATCGCGAGACCTCCTCCTATAAATAAATGATGACACCATCAACTTAAGAATTAAAAAAAAACCTGAAAATAAATTGCAACACACTATCAGTACCTGCTGTCACGGTCTCGACTTCTGCGATGATGATGATCATCATCCAAATCATCTCTCTCACGTTCTCTTTTCTCACTACGTTCTCTGCTACGGTCCCTATGACGATCTCTATGATGGCGGTCTCGTTCCCTATCCTTACTTTTCTCCCTATCTCTATCTCTGCTTTTCTCCCTATCTCTATCTCTGCTTTTCTCCCTGTCTCTGTCTCTGCTCTTTTCCCTTTCACTATCTTTGTCTCTGTCTTGATTTTCCTTGTCTTTCTCCTTGCTTCTTGAATAATCCTTTTCAGGATCATGAGATTCCTGCTTGAATCAAATGTCAAAAGGCTTCTCCATATTAGATACAACCAAAAGTGAAAAAAATGCATATCATATCAACCTTATTTCTAAAGAGCAGCATATATACTACAAATTCAACTCTTTACATGGCTAAATCATCACATAAATTCAGAGAATCCCTTAAATCACATTATCAAATCCAGAATTCAACAATAATACAGAAGAGGCAGAACATGAAATATGTACCAAATTACAATATGAAGAGGAGGAGTAAGAAAATAAGAGAAGGGCAATCTAGAGCTATTACTGTTAACCTTACAAACATAACAGAAGCCTAAAAGCTATAGAATCGAAGAGAAGAGTATGTAAAATGGATCCAAGTGTACATACTCGAGACTTGGAGTCTTCGTGACCATCCTCCCCACCAAGGGACTGCTGAAAAGGCGAACTCTCCCGAGCTATGTAGTCATCGTTGTTGTTGTTGGTTGCGGTGGAGACAGCGACGCCATCTCCGTTACCTTCGTAACTCATCATCCACTCAAAGGAGTCTCTTCTTCGAATCGTTGAGTCTGATAATCTGATTGTGTGGAGAAAACCCTAGGGGATTCTAATCACGGATTAATTAAATTATGAAGATTCCAGGAGGAGGAAAATTAAGGGTATTATCGTAAATTGAATATAACACTTACTGTAAATGGGCTCATTATACTTAATGGGCTTTTAACCCATTGTTGGGCTATCGGATATTGCTGTTCGTTACCCAAATATGTATGGGCTTATACTTAATGGGCTTTTAACACGAAATTATTCTTTTCCAACATCTGACGATGATAATTTTGTTTTACCCAAATATGTACATAGGTGTTTCTTTTTCAATTTTTGAATATTTGTTTTTTCACTCTTAGTTTGCGTGTTAGTCGAATTCACGAATCTTTTAGTTGTCTCTCAGTTACATTTTTTAAAGAATTGAAAATAAGCAATTTGAATATGTTATAAATTAGATGAGTTTGAGAACATTTCTACCATGAATCAAACTCAATTTCTGACAGAGGTAAAAACCTAAATTAGTTTTTTTTTTTTTAATATATGTTGATGATTTAAAAGATAAAAAGAGAGAGAATGAAATTGGAAGATATATGCCATTTCTAGTGAAAACAAGTCAACCTAACAGTACAAACACCGGTCCACACACTCTCGCTTTCTTTACTTGACCATATCATTCATGGCCACTCAATATGAGATGTGTTCCTTGTCCTTGACACACACACACACAAAATAATACTAATAATTCAAGATTTTGCATATATGAAACAAGTTTACATGTTCCAATAATTCATATGGATTTGTCTTACTCCATACGTCTTGAAGAATCCTTTTCAAGATCATGAGATTTACTGCAGTGTAACAGAGAGATGTCCAAGGCTTCTTCGTTATCATAAGTACAACAAATAAATAGTAAAATGCATAATAATATCTTCGTACGTTTCTCTATAGAGAGCATATGATTAATATAGTAGATAATGCATAATGAGAATTATGAAGATATTAGAAGCCCATTAATAATTAAAAACTATAGCCTCATTGTGATTAATGGGCTTAATAATTTTTTTTTGATTTTCTTTTATCCCAAATATACATTTTGATACAACCAAGTTTTACTTTTACCTGTAGAAGATTAGAAGAAGCATCCCTAATTTTACTAGTCCGAAGAACCCTACTTTCGAATCTTTTTGCAATGATGTTGTATAAAGAGAGCATAGCTGCATAGCTATGAAGATTTTGTTATCAAAAGACTCGAAACTATATATATATATAATATATTGAAAATCATACTTTCTATTTTGGTGACTGATATAATTTTATTTAAATTGCCATTTTTTTCTTGGGTTAATATATTTTTTAGTCAAAATAGTTTACAAAACCAGATGATTCTAAATATATACATGTGAAAGTGAAATTTATAAATTGATTTAAATATTGTTCTCAATGTAGTTGAATACTTAAACCTAATAAATATATATTTACAGAAATTGTTTTAGTTCAATTAATATTTCTGGTCAAACAATCGACAATCATTATTCTATTTTGTAAATATGAAATATTATTCTTTAGCTAACAAAAAACATAAGAAAACAGTCAAAATATGATATCATTTTCATTTTGATTTTTCTCATAAGGCAATCTTTGGTTGACTAGAGATAGATAGAAGAAAATAAGAGAATGAGGGCAGAGAGATGCATGAATGAATGATGAAAGTGATGAACAAATAAAAGGACGAGAGGTGGAAAAAGAGAGATAGTTGATAGATGATAGCTGATTGTGACATTGACAACTGATAGAAAGTATTTTAAAAGTGAAAGAAAAAAAAAATCTAATAATTGGTGAATTTGAAGAGGTAAAGGCAACGTAACAAGTATTAAGATTATACCAACAACAATAATATTAAGATAATTTATACAATCTATCTAAGTAAAAAGAAAAAAACAATGGTTAGATATGTAAGGTGTTGATGATTTGATATCTTGAGAGTATGGTCATCGTCGTGGATAGGATCGATTCTTCGTGTGGTGGGTGGGGAACGAATCAAATCCATGCAGAGGATGATTAACGAATTAGGTTAATGATAGGTTTACCAAAAAGATAATTAAAGAAAGGTTTTGATACTTAGCAACGAGGCGTACGGTAATGAGAGTGACACACAATATCAATATATACAAAAGAAGAGAAGACAGAAACACCAAAAAACAGAACAAGGGCCACTACCACTTTTCATTTTGTCTCGATGCGTTACGTGACAACCACATCATCTCCTATAACACTTTCTTCTCAAAATCACATGCAATTTCTTCTGTTTTCAATTCATCATTTTCGTCCTTTATGTTTCAACAACTATTAGTATTACGTACCACTGTTCTTGTTTAACCTTTTTTTAGACTTTTTAAAGCATATACAGTATTCTCAAGTTGTTTACATAATTGTTTATTACTTTCATGCGAAGAATATTTTGTTTTACTGTTTACCGTTTACTTTTTCGAGTTTTCGTCTTCTTCTATGTCGACGAATAATTAAAACACAATTTAAAGAATTAACACGTTGCAAATTTTGAAGAAGAAAAGCATATAGATTTTATGGAGGAGTTGACGTAAAGAGAAGTAAATACATTATTTATGAAATTTCGTACGTCTCTTCGATGATATTAAAAATAAATAAAAAAAGATTTTTAAAGAAAACATTTCGTAAAAAACAACATGACTTTTGTTTTCATATACCAAACTTTTAAAAGATATGTGAAACAATCAGAAAGGTTTCTGTTTTTTTTTTTTAAAAATCTTCGTATGAATGATTAGGTTCTATATATTTCTAAAAGATTTAATATATATATATATATATATATATATATATATATATATATATCTACAAAGTCAAACTCTTCTTCGCAAAGCTTAATTTTTGTCACAGAATATAATAATTTCAAACCAACAAAAATTAGATTCGTCTTTCTTTTGCGATATTAGTTTTTTTTTTTTTTTTTTTTGCGATATTAGTTCATTTCAGGCTGTCGCAATTCATGTATTTTGTTATGACAGCTACTGCATGATATAATTACGTATAGTTTTTTTCTCATATGCGATGATGAAGAGCGACGCTTACGATGATTATTTATACAAATTACAATTATAGTTTGTCCAGAAAGTTCATTGGATGCTTTCGAACGTTGAACAAAAACAAATCGTAATAAAGAACCTAAAATGATTCGTAAGCATCGATGCTTGTCTTCTTGTGTTTGGCCATGTTAGGTTGAGTCCAGATGTTTAATATCTATATTCATACCTATTACCATCCACGTCTATATATTTTTAATTATATATTCCTATCAAAATATCCGCGGCGACAGAGTTTTGAATTTACGTTCATATATATGGTTTTGGGTCAATCACATTAATAACGAGTTTTTGTCTTAGCTCGTACAAACACATACTTAATTACGATTATGGAGTAATTGAATCTTTGGCTAACTCTAGTTATCAAGCTCGTCACGATATATATCATCGGATGCAAAACTAATAGGTACGTAGTCTAAATCCAAAACCCGTAGTAACACACGATCGAAACGTTGCTAAATATGGAAAAAACAATGCAATCCTTTAATATAAGCATTAACATATACTTGTTAATCACTTTTATCTTGATTCAATTATTGTGCAAGAGGCATCATGATTCATGAATAAGTTTAACCTGTATATACCACATTCAACTTGTAAGAGATACATATATATATATATATATATAAAGAAAAAAAGAAACATACATAATATGCAACATGCATGATTAAAAAATATATACGTCATTTGTTTTGGGTTTAGGATAAGCATGACATGTTCATAATTTTGGCTAATATGACAAAACCATGCACAGTTGAATCATGCAACATGGTCTTTGTGCTATTCGCCGTAATCCGATTCGTGATCTATATCTCTCATATCCGACTCTTTTATTTCCATAGCATATATATAAAAATATGTTTCATTAGGGAAAAAAATAGCATTAAGAAATATTATGGAGAATGACGACATCTTACTTTGTTTTCTATATTTTTCTTCTCATATATCCCTCTAACTAATTTTTCTCCAATAATTAATTAAATCTCGTTATCAACATGCAATTTGAAAACCATTAAAAGTTTAAAACACTATATATACTTTAACATTCTAAATTATTACATATATGTAGGTTGTATAAGAATTATTCTCTACAACATTTAATATATTTAACCAAATGAATTGTAGAAAATAATATTAATATATATTACCTAAAATGACCTTGATAAGTACCAAACGTCTAGAAATGCATGCAACATGCTATATATAAGTGGACAATATCTCATATACGATCAAAATTCAAATCGTATTATTATTTTTTTCTTATCGTAATAATAGGCAGATTCTTCTGTATAAAAGTCAAAGGACAAAAAAAAATGTCATTATACGATATGCAATGGAATTGTATTGTAACGTAGATTGTGACAAGCCTCGTAGTGTAAATAAAATACAAATATCTAGATGTGAGCTTACCTATGAAGTCTAAACATTTGATTTTTAATAGAAGTTTATATGGGTTAATTAAAATGATCTAATGAGATCACAAATTAACAAAATAGGAAACGTTTGAATTTGACTCTAATGGATATTTTAATTAAATAATAGGAGCTAAGAACTTAGGCAGATGCCAAAAGTCCAAACTAATCTCAAAATTTGGCCTAATACATTTACCACCTTGGTTTATTATTTTTTCACATTTTGTTTATACAAAACATATTTTGTGTTTTTAGTGAAATATTCAGATTTATTTTTAATTTCGTAACAAACATGATTGTTTTACTCAAAAATCGATGATTATTGTTTAGCTGATAAAGTAATTGAAAAGGGCTCTAATCTTAGTTTTCCAAATTTAGAATGAATTTGTAGATTTGTAAATGCTGTTCTCTTTTGCTAAATTCAAAACATAGGCAATCATAGTCAAAATACATAAATGAGAAGACTCTAATCCTAGTTTCCCAAATCTAAGACCATCATTATCCATAGTCTC